GAGAGCTCCATCGCAGTTCTATTCTGCACCATTTAGAAATGAAATTAAACTCCTCAAAAACCTTAAGAGCTCAGGAGTCTGGCAGCAAGGCTTTAAAGATGCATCAGGACCTTGCAGTGTAGGGTGGTTGTATGGCTTGACCTCTGAGCCAAGTGTCTGCCTGGGGGCTGATGGGTGAGACAGACGTTAAGTGAATTCTGCAGAAAATGGCAGGTTGTTCATTAATGGAAATGGTTGTGCCTAAGCCCATTTGTTCTCATGAAGCAAGAGTGGTGTTGTGTGGTCTCTGGGGAAGAAAGCTGGTAGAGGGTTTTTGAGGATGTCTCTTGAGCTAATGTGTCTGTTTCTTTGGAGGAGTGTACAGGATTGCTTTGTTAGGCGTTGAAGCTGACTCCACTATGAGCTGGTTCTAATGGAATTTGATGGTCAGGAGGAAATTAGAATAGACGGTGTGGGATACGGCGTTAAGTGGATAGACTCTGGAGCCCACTAGCTGCGTAGCCTCATGCAAATAGCTTTAACCCCTGTTCTTTCATTTCTTCAACTGTAAGGATGCAGGTAATACCAGTTAGCTACCTGCTAGCATGGCACGAACACTGATAGGTTAACCCTCACCAGGTACTTAAACTGTGCCTGACACATAAGAAGCATGTATGAACTGTTGGCTGTTACGATTATGATGAACAGTGTCGGGAGGATGGGAGCTCATCATTCAGGATAGAGACCAACCAGGGTTGTAGACACGGGTCTTCTCCCAGTGCCATGTTCTGATTTGGGTATTTTACTAGGGTGGGGTCATCGGGCCCAGCCCAGTACAGAGCAGCAGAGATGCTTGTCCTGGGGCGGAGACGCCCCGGAAGTGTGTGACACCAGTTCCTTGTGCAGGAGGCTAAGGCAGAGGAGTCTTCTTAAATCTGGGTTTCTCTTTGGCTCTGGCAGTTAGGTTGGGAGCATCTCCTGTGGCATCTTGGTAAACAGAAAGGGAATGGAATTTGGAATGAGGGGATGTGCTTTCAAGTTCAGGCTCAAGCCTTTAGCTGTGAGAACTTGAATCATTCATGGCTTCTCTGAATCTCAATTTCCTTATCTGTGAAATTGTCTTTTTTAAATTTTTTTAAGGTGTATTAATTTTTGAGAGACAGAGACAGAGGGAAAGCAGGGGAGGGGCAGAGAGAGAAAGGGAGACACAGAACCTGAAGCAGGCTCCAGGCTCTGACCTGTCAGCACAGAGCCCGACGTGGGGCTCGAACTCATGTATTGTGAGACCTTGACCTGAGCCAAAGTCAGACGCTTAAGAGACTGAGCCACCCAGGTGCCCCTTTGTGAAATTGTCATATGTTGGTGGTGAGGTCATCAAACACTAGATTGAATGTGAAAGGGCTTTGCATTGTTTAAATCCATTTTTTTTTTCAAAAGTAAAAGTGATCTGTTTTCTGTGTGATCTCATCCAAGTCCCAGCTGATGATGTTGTCTTGTAACTTTCTGAGATTTCCCTTAGCTTCCCATCAGTTTGTCTTTAAAAAAAAAAAAAAAAAAAAATCAGACCAGGAAACGGGGTGGTCAGGGCCCAGTTACTCAGGCTTGGGACTCTTAAGACTGGTTCTAGCTTGTCCAGGACCTGTCTGGATGTACTTAACAGAAATGCCTCTCCCACAAGACAGTTTGAACCAATGCTAGAAATTCCAGAGTTCTTAGAAGCTGAGCATTTTAAAGTAAAAAAGAAACTTCTATTTTCATTTTCTCAAGCCTGTCCCTACCCACCCCACCCCCATCTCATCATTTTAGTTTTGTGGGTAGTTACATTCCAGGATAGCGCTATTGAGGGAAATGATTATTTGATTCCTTTTGAAATAGCCATTTATGAAAGGGTATAATAAAGCAACATGTTATATATTTAACAACACTAGATATTTTAGATTCAGTCATTCATTGGACAAATATTTATTGAGTGACTACGCCAAGCACTGAGGATACCACAGCACAAAAGGCAGACAAAATCCTGCCCTCACACACCTTACTGTTTAGTAGGCCCTCAGGCATTAAGTCAATAAACCCACAAAATAGATTTACAGATCTAATGTGACAAGTGTCATGAGGAAGAAAAACAGTGTGTTAGAAGGAAGGCGGGGATCTACCTTAGATTGGAGGTCAGGGAAGGCCTCTCTGAGAGTGGGTCATTTAAGTGTGACCTGAAGGAAGAGACTAAGTTAATCAGGACAGAGGTTATAGGAGATGCTAAGGCCCTGTGGTTGGAGAGAACTAAGGAAGGCCATGTAGCTAGAGCTTAGTTGGGGGGAGTGGTATGATGAAGGTGAGGAAGGAAGTGTGGTCTGCACGGACCTTGTTAGTGATTCTGGATTTTATCCTAAGGGGTCTCTTTAATGCTATTAGATTTCACACTAACAGATTTCACACTATTAGATTTTAAGATAGATGGGTTCCATCAGGCTGCTCTTTCTGGAGATAGAATTTGCCGACAGAATTATTGCCAATCCCAAACAGAGTAATGCCTGGGGCCATTTTTTTTAAAGCAAGCTCTATGGCCAATGTGGGGCTTGAACTCACAACCCTGAGATCAAGAATCGCATGCTACACCAGTTGAGCAAGCTAGGCGCCCAAGGTCTCTTGCTTTTTACAAGCCAGATCTCTGGTAAATAGATGATGGGAAAGCCAGAAAGGAAGGTTAGGAGGTCACGATCCCTGCACTGGCTTCCTGCTACATTCCAGAAGAGTTTTGCCTGATAAAGTCATAGCATGTCTGAGCCGGAAGGGACCCCAAGGATCGAGTCATCCACCCCTTATTCCCTGGGGTCAGGGAACTGTTGGGAGGGATGGGCCATGACGACAGCATCGCACCAGCCATCTCAGAAGGGTCAGTGTTTTCAGATGGGTGAGGGCTGAATAGAAACTGTGGCTACTAGGGCGCCTGGGTGGCTCAGTCGGTGGAGCGTCTGACTTCGGCTCGGGTCATGATCTCGCAGTTCGTGAGTTCAAGCCCCACATCGGGGTCTGTGCTGACAGTTCAGAGCCTGGAGCCTGCTTCAGATTCTGTATCTCCCTCTCTCTCTTCCCCTCCCCCACTCACACTCTGTCTCTCTCTCTCAAAAATAAGTGAACATTGAAAAAAAAGAAAAAGAAACCATGGCTGCTGAAAACTGCATCAGCCACAGAGGCCTCCCACACAAACCTTGTGTTCTGGTTTGGTGCCTCAAAGGGCCTCTGACCCATGGTGTGGCTTTGTGGAGACACCCGGGTGTTCACAGGATCTTCCACGGTGGCTCCAAGGGGAGGCAGGATGCCCTGAGCGCTGGGAGTCTGGGTGTGTTGCCACCACTCTGCTCCCGGGGGACTTGGAATCCCATCAAGGAAGGTCTTTTAATATCACAAGTCATAGACCAACCCTGGGATGACAGTAGTATTTTTAGCACACCTTGGTTTAGAAAATACCTAGTAGCAAACAATTACTCTGTGGTTAGTACTGCTTCCGAATGAGTTTGTACTTCATTCATTGCAATGACATCTGTAGTTCACTTGAAAAATAGCTGTACATCTGTCAGTGTGTGAAGCAGGATATTTATTCGGTCCACATGTATTGCTGCTCAGTAGGCAAATGGATTTGACAACCCATTGCAGTAATTGACTGGCTTTCCCCAAGCATGGGTGGCCCATAAATTGGGAACTGCTAGTTCAGAAGCATTGGCCTGGAGCACCCAGCGGGCTCAGTCAGAAGACCGTGTGACTCGTGACCTCAGGATTGTGAGTTTGAGCCCCACGCTGGGTGTAGAGATCACTTAAAAACAAAATCTTGAAGGGTGCCTGAGTGGCTCAGTTGGTTAAGTGTCTGATTCTTGATTTCCACTCAGGTCACGATCTCACGGTTCGTGGGATTGAGCCCGCATCGGGCTTTGCGCTGACAGTGTGGAGCCTGCTTAAGATTCTCTATCTCCCTCTCTCTCTGCCCCTCCCCTGCTTGCTCGTGGTTGGTCGGTCTCTCAAAATAAATAAACATTTAAAAAATAAGTAAAATAAAATCTTGGGAAAGAAAAAAAAGAAGCATTGGGCTGCAGAAAACCAGCCACCTATTGGAAATGATCCTAATTGTAATCAACTTCTCAGAGGGAGGAAACAGACCATGTAAGCCTCACCACCATATTTTAAAGTATTCTTTATTGCTTTTTTTTAATTACGAGAATAATTCAAGATCATTGTAAAAGCCAAAAACATTATACAAATGTATAACTGTGAACAATTTTGTGTGAAGTGTTCCTATTTGTTCTGTGCATAAATAAGATTTTTATAGAAATAAATAGGATGTTGCTATGCATTATGTTCTGTGTGTGTGTGTGTGTGTGTGTGTTTAAATGTTTGTTTATTTTTGAAGGAGAGAGAGTGTAAGCAGGGGTGGGGCGGAGAGAGAGGAGACAGAGGATCCGAAAGAGGCTCTGCGCTGTCAGCACAGAGCCTGACGTGGGGCTCAAACTCACGAACCGTGAGATCATGACCTGAGCCGAAATCAAAAGTCGGACGCTTAACCAACTGACCCACCCAGGCATCCCTATGTGTGTGTGTGTTGTTAACATACTTGGTAACTTATTTTAAGGAAGCAACAAGATTGAGTGGGAAGAACATTGGGTTTGGGTTCTGGCTCTGTAAATATACTAGTTGGATGATTAGTAATACAGTGATAAACTAGTTGGGTGATCCCAGGTAAATCACAGATCTTTCTAAGCCTCAGTGTCCTGGTCTCTAAAATAGGGACTGACATTTGTCCTCTCTTAGAAGGTTGTTGTAAGGATCCAACGACACGGTATATTGAAAAGGACTCTTTGTAAAGCATGTGTATTGCATGGATATAAAGGATTATTATTATTTAAAGTTACGATTTCAGTCCTTTTCCCCTTTGAAGTGCTCTGATCAGTGAATACTTACACCAGTGGTCATTTACTCAATGGTTTCCTTGGAGACGAATAGGAACTAACCTGCTCTTCCCTTTTTTCCAGGTCACTCCCGGAAGCAAGGCTGCGATGGCTAACCTGTGCATCGGAGATGTAATCACAGCCATCGATGGGGAAAACACCAGCAGTCTGACACACTTGGAAGCTCAGAACAAAATCAAGGGCTGCGCAGACAACATGACTCTCACGGTCACCAGGTAAGGCGTGGAAATGCTCCTTCTTCGCCTGCAGGCTGCTTGTGGGAAGGTCCACCTCACCTGTCCCAGATCCCCTCCGGCCCAAGCCCTGTGCCCTGCGGCAGGCCAGCAGGTCTGTAGGATTGGGGTTTCCTCAGGTTTTTCTTTTTCCTCTCGCATTTTCCCAGTGTTTCTTATAGTGTGGGCGTCTCTCTCCAGGAGCTCTGCGTTTTCACTTGCTCCAACACAACCAACCAAAACTTTGAGGAAGTCAAATCAGTTAAGCAGTCAGCTACGACGAAATGAAAATTTCTTCTCAGATACCATGGAGAATCTACTTAGGATGCTGCGTGCATCACACCAAGTGAAGCCGGGGGTACCACCCCTGGAGGTTACAGTGGCAGAGATAGATACCAACACGTTAGACAAAGTGCTGCGTGTAAGCTTAAGTGCTATGAGAAAGGATAGTTGAATGTTCTCAACGGGTCTGGTCGCTGCTTGAGGAGAGCACTTGGGCTTGGGAGTGGTCACCGGGGTGGAATTCCCATTTTGTTTCTGATTAGTCTTGGGCGGGGGTGGGGGGGGGCGGTTCCTGCAAGGGCTGGATGTCAGGAGAGATTTGGTTTAATATTTGCTGTCTCCCTCTTTCCTGTTGGATCAAGTTCACATTCCTCATTCTGATCTTCTGCTTACCTGCTGTTTAATGCAATTAACCTTGGCTTCCACTGCTCTTCATCGTGGGCCCTTTGCTCAGGTTCTTATCTGAAATAGGTTTATCGCTTTTTCTACCTTGTGCTGTAGGACTAGTGGGAGGACCAGGTGTAGGGCAGGAGGTCAGAATATTTCATATATGTTAGAGCCCTGCCCCTATAGGAGGCCCCCAACATGGGGCTTGAACTCAAGAACCTGAGATCGAGAGTCACCCCACACCACTTTTTCTATCCCCTCAAAAGCACGTTTGTCCCTCATTCTCCTCTCCACTTCTACCTCAGTCCAAATCCTTTCCAAGACACTCATTCATTCATTTTTTTTTTTAATTCATCTACCAACAAATTCAACAGGTGTATCTTGTATCTGGCCCTGTGCTTGGCAGTCTAACAATACAGGATACGCATAAATGTTTTATTTCATTCTACACTAATGAAAGCTTAGACTAGACTGAGGTTTATGCTATGTGATCAGTACAAAGAAATCCTTTGCACACTCAAGAAGGGAGGCATCACTTTTATTTGGACCAGCCAGCCTTCACACTTGGTGAGTCAGTTCCCCAGTCTGGCTCAAGAACACTGGGAGGGGTAAAGGAGAAGCTCTTTCTGTCCCGACAGAGGTAGGCCATGTGAGGCTGCTTGGGACTGTAGAGGAGGCTGGTGTGGCTGGGGGTCAGCAACACAGTGCAGTGATGGAGGGTGAGGCTGAAAGAGGTCTGCGCCACATGGGAAGCCATCAGAGGAGACGTGATCAGATGGGTGCTTTGGGAAGATCACACTCGTGGCAAACAGAGGGGAAGGCGAGTGGCAGGCAGAGTGTTAGTTCAGAGCGCAGAAGTCAGGCAGCAGTGGGCATTTTCCCGTCCTGTTTTTAGTATATGTGACTTAGCATGAATGAAACAACATTGTCAATGTGTTGCAGATCTGAACAAAAAATCTGGTCTCCCCTGGTGACAGAGGAAGGGAAACGTCATCCGTACAAGATGAATTTAGCCTCTGAACCCCAAGTAAGTACTTGTTCACCGTTGCCACTGCTCCTGTCTTGTCTTCCTTTGACACAACTGTTTGGCTTGCCCTGGGGGCCTGGGCCAAGGTCAGGAGAGCCCTCCACAGACAACCCTGGGACCTGGCTCTTGTTCACTTCTTCCCGTAAGGGAACGCGGGAGGAAAGAGCTGGAAAGCCCCAAGGCAGTGACGCCAGGGCCAGGGCTGGACACAGAGTGTAGGAAGCGATACAGGAAGCGGGTGGAAGCTTTCCTGTGCAGAATAGGGTGGCAGGACTGCATGAAATAAAGGAGCTGGCTCAGCTCACTGTGGATTTCAGATACATGTGAATCATACCAGGCATGAAAATCAGTGTGGGTCCTGAGGTCTAGAACCTGGAGGGGAATCAGAATCGTAACCCTGCCTCTCCTCCCCAGACCCCACTCTCTTGTTTCCATGAGCCTTGCAATGGAAATCTCCATTTTTGTTTCACTGAGACCCTAAAATCGCTAAAATAAAGTGCACTTCAGACTGAAACTAGGCGGTCAGTGCACAATTTGTCAGCCGAATAGAATTTCCGAGGACGGTAAACTGTCTAAAGATCCCATATTTGTAAACAAATCGATTGTAAGTGATTTTCTTTCTTTCTTCCTTAATTGCGTCTTCTAAATTATCTACAATGAATGGGTATTCTTTTGAAATAAGGGGAGGGGTACCTGGCTGGCTCAGTTGGTTAAGTGTCCAACTGTTGGTTTCACTCAGGTCATGATCATGCAGCTTTGTGAGCTCAAGCCCCTCATCGGGCTCTGTACTGACAGCACAGAGCCTGCGTGGGATCCTCTCTCTCTACCTGTCCCCTACTCATGCTGTCTCTGTCTCTCTCAAAATAAATAACTAAACTTAAAAAAAAAAAGTGGAAAAAACTTAAGAATGTTTAGAACATTTTTGTAAAATTCCTTGTGCCTGACCTACTTTTTACAAAGTGTGTATCTTGGATAAATTAATGAATTATTAATAAGTTAATAAATAGGGGCTCCCAGCTGAGTCAGTGGAACATGTGACTCCTGATCTCAGCATTGTAAACTCAAGCCCCAGGTTGGTGTTGAGATTACTTGATTTAAAATCTTAAAAAATAAATAATAAGTAAATTGAGAATGGCTTTTGAAAACTTCTCTTAGACTGATGTGTGATTGTTATACATTTAACCCCAGCTGAAGATTTGAACTTTAATTTTTTTTCCTAAAATAATTTGGGACACAACTTACTTTTTATGATGAATCAAGATACAATAAAAAAGTAGCACATAACTAGATCTCCTTTATACATGACAGAAGCTTCTATGAAAATGAACTCACAAAGTATGTTGGTGTGAATAAATGAATGGTTGTTTGTAAGTGATGTTTTCTCAAAGGTATCCATTAAAATTTCTGAAATGTAGGCATACAGCATTTGTTTCATTAATATAATAAAAATCATACTCAAGAAATCCTAAGAGTTACATCAAGGGCAATTTTGAATCTGGCATTTCAGAACTGGCATGAACATGTTCAGCTCCTATAAGGAAAGCTTATAAAATGGCACTCAGTTGTAAACTGGCAGTTGTAAAAAAGTTAATTTTTTTAAGTTTATTTATTTATTTTTAGCAATCTTTATACTCAACATGGGGTTTGAACTCATGACCCTGAGATCGAGAGTTGCATGTTCTTCCTACCGAGCCAGCCAGACTCCGCGTACAAACTAATTTTAAATGTGCCACTGTTAATTCCAGTTTCCCAAGGCGTTCTTAGCCACTTCACTGAATTTACTATAAATGTTAAGTTCTAATGTGCTAAGTTGTGACATGTTTTATAATACGTAAGAAATGGTTTTGTTCTGATTTGGTCTACCTAAAATCTTACTTTTCACTTCAATAAGGGAATACTTCCATTTCAGTTACACTGTTTATATCTTATGCTTGAATTTTCATCGTTAAGCCTATAGTCCAGTTCCTGTATTAGTATTTTGAAGGTAGTTCTCTTCTTCAAAAAAAATTTAAAAAATTCTCTGATGCTTTAACACCTAACTTGAGTATATTTTTCTTTTGATTCAGTAATTCTTTGTTCCTATGAAAAACTTCTCACTCTCCTTTTCCCAAAACCTTTCACTTCCAGTCATTCTAAAATAAAAGAATGAGTAAGAACAGAGTTCATCTATAATTAAAAGATCTGTTAGTTCATGTAATGCCAGCCACCACCCCGGCTTATCTGAGGTCAGGGTAGTCACACACCTAGTTTATATTTCCTCATTATTCAGTTTCCTTGGAGACTGATAAATACAAAGCCCAAACAATTACATCATCCATTCCAGAGGCAGGCCCTGAATTAACCGCCTGACTTCTGGAAAGACCAGTATTCACATGGGGTTAGAGATACTCCTTTTAAGTACAAAACGGATGTATTCTCAGAAGATTCTCTATAAAGTGAAAAAGGAGAATGTCCAACTGGAATAATTTTCTATTGACTCTCCATTCTAATTGGAAATGTGTGTCTGGGGAGGGAGAAGGGACCAGACACTGACTGAATGTCTGCTTTGTGGCAGTCACTGTCGTTGGTACACTGATAGGTCATACCAAGTGCTTGTGAGAGAAAGCTTTACTTACTTCCATGTAAAGATGAGAAATGGCCTCAGAGAGGTATAACTTGCCCAAAGCCAGAGAGGAAATGATGGGAAAAATGGAGCCAAAACAGAAAAATAGGAATCTTCCTTGGTGCTCAGCATCCTGTGCTGCTCCTTGGAATTGCTGTGGAGACGGAGGTGACGACAGAACTGCGTCCCTGGCTGCAGCTGTGGGTCTGTCCTGCAGTGCTGTAGGGCAGCCACTGACGTGGGCCAAAGTCCCAGGCCACCAACCATCTGCAAGTCCCCTGCTGTTAACGACTATGTATTATTCCTCATGGTAGTTGTGCCATAGGATTTACTTAACCATGCTTTGATTACTGATAAAGTCATTTTTTTTTTTTTTTTGTTTATTTTGGGGGGAAGAGAGAGAGTGAAAGTGAGCGGGGTAGGGGCCGAGAGAGAGGGAAACAGGATCTGAAGCAGGCTCCGCACTGACAGCAGAGGGCCCAGTGCAGGGCTCTAACTCATGAGCTGTGAGATTGTGACCTGAGCCAAAGTTGGATCCTGAACTGACTGAGCCACCTGAGTATCCCTGCTAAAGTCATTTTCTTAACTAGTTATACTTCCCCTTTTGTGAATGATCTGTGTGTACTTAGCTTTTGTCCAGTGTGGACAAAGTCCACTCAATGTAACTTATACATTAAAACCTCACTGGTTCTGACTTGTCGAAGAGAAGCCTGTCTGAATAGTGAAAAATCTCAATCATAAAACTATTTTCTTTTTGTCTTTTATTTTTAATCAGTACCCAGCGAGGGGCGCCTAGGTGGTTCAGGTGAGAGTCCGACTTCAGGTCAGGTCGTGATCTCACAGTTTGTGAGTCTGAGCCCCGCATCAGCTGTCAGCACAGAGCCTGCTTCAGATCCTCTGTCCCCCTCTCTCTGCCCCTCCCCCGCTTGTGTGCACATGCTCATGCTCTCTCTCTCTCAGTACACAGTGAATTAAATTGTTACTTTTCTTTGTAATGTATTCTAAGAAAGCGTGAAAGACAACGTTTCAGTGAAAGAGAGATTAAGAAAAAAAAAAGGAGCAACAGACAGAAGACTGGAAGGAAATCTTTGGGGATCAGTTCTTCTGGGCCTGAGTGTTAAGGGGACCAGCGTTCAGGAAGGTTCTGTGTTGGGGAACACAGAAAATACGATGCATGTTGAGTTTAGTAGCTGCACAGAGCATGCTATCGGGTGGGTCCAGGACATTCGTGCAGAAAGCACCTTCCTGATGGAGTTGTCAGAAAAATCCATGATTTTTAAAACCAGGAATGTTAGTTTAAAAAGTTTGGGGGGGGGGGTGTGTTTGCAAAGACGCAATGAGCTCTGGAGCTGTAGGAATTATCCTTGGCTCCTGGCAGTCCAGGGAAGGGGTGGAGGGCACTGTCTCAAATTACAGAAAGAGCGGGGGATGAGCCCAGAGGAGATCAAAGTCCTCTCCTTAACCCCCCCCCCCCCCAGGCACCACCCCTGTAACAGGTATCGCCTAGCCTTCCATCTGGGCAGCCTTGTCCTTCTAGAGAAACTGCAGATCCTGAACTCCCTTTACCCCTTCCTGCTGGAGCCCTGAACCACCTCTGCCTCCTCAGCAGCTGCTTTGCCCGGTGGCCCCGTGGGCTTCTTATCTTGCTTGTCTAATCCCCTCAGTTCTAGGAAGTTTGTCTCTACCTTTTATCATCTCCTGCTCTGCACTGACCCAGGCCCCAAGAGCCTGCCTGTTCTCCTCCTTGTACTGTAATCCCTTTGGAATGTACTCTGAAAGGGAGTTTCAGCCCAAGCTTAGATCATGACAGCCCAAGGCATCTAGAGGTGTTATGCCCAGGGGGTGCCTAGCAGCAGATTAGGCTTTGACTGGGCCTCCAGGGAGAACAAGGTGGAGCTGGCATGCGAAACCCACATGCCCAGCTGGAGACTTCCCCCGGTCGGTCGGTTGGTCGGTGGGTCATTGCCTGCGTGTCTGGTGGGCACGTCAGAGCCCCTCAGTTGAAGTTTGGTGTTGAACCAGGGCTACCACAGCTCAACAGAACACCTTTCTTTCTGGCACTCAGCCTGCAGTGTCTCTCGGGGGTGTGCACTGATCTCCTCTGATCTCTGCCTACAGGAGGTCCCACACATAGGGAGTGCCCACAACCGGAGTGCCGTGCCCTTTACCGCCTCACCGGCCACCAGCTCTGCCCCCAGGGTCATCACAAACCAGTACAACAATCCAGCTGGCCTCTATTCCTCTGAAAACATCTCCAACTTCAACAACGCCTTGGAGTCCAAGACAGCAGCCAGCGGGCAAGAGACAAATGGCAGAGCGTAAGTAGGCCCTTGGATCCCCCCACAGGCCAGTCCTGGAAAAGGCTGTGCGTGGCAGGACCAGGTTCATCCAGATGGGTGGGAAGAGGTTGGGCCACCAACCCAGAGAGAAAACCGTCTACTTTAGCACTGTTCTTTCTGCATTCATTTTCCGTTATCTCTGAAAAAGGGGCAAATACCACCTGCCTTATAGGGTTGTTGTGAACATAAGTAACATGTAAAGCGTCTGGCACCATATCTGGCACAAACTAATCAATTATTCACCAAGACTGACATTGTTATTTCCCTGATTTCTCTGGTCATCATCATCTTCTCAGTGAGCATATTCCCTCTTTGACAGCCCTACTGATTCCTGAGATATTTTTGTTTGTTTTGAGAGAGAGAGACAGAGAGAAAATATATCCCAAGCAGGCTCTGCACTGGCAGCACAGAGCCCGATGCAGAGCTCGAACTCACGAACCATGAGATCATGACCTGAGCCGCAATCAAGAGTCAGACACTCCACTGAATGAGCCACCCAGGTGCCCCCTGAGATATTCTTTAGTATTTATAGTTTGGGGTTTCTGCTTGTGTTCACCATCTGATCTGAACAAAGGATGAGCACTTCATGATGAAATGTTTGGGAACCAGCGTCTGCTTTTTTCCCTACAGTGGCCCACTGGAAATAATAGAAGTTTGTGAGGATATAAATGTGTGTCTATTGGAACCGGTTCTGATCTGGGGCAGACACAGGGGAGAGGAGGGCTGCGGGTGGACAGGGTAGAGAGTTCTAAGGAAACAGCTCTCTCAGGGCTGGGGAGGCCTGTCCCCTCCTGTCACCAATCTCAGTTTTTATCCAGAGTATCCTCTGTCTTCCCAGCATAGGAGGCCCAGTGTCCGCTCCATCCTGGACTCTTTGAAGATGAATCTGGAAACACTGGGGATACTTGAACCCACAGCAAAGGAACTGGGTTTGAGGATGGAGAATAGGAGGTGGGACCAGTTCTCTCTCTGTGGGTTAAAAGGGGACAGACTAGGTCCCAAGTTGCCACCTCCCATGCCCAAATGTGGCAGGGAAGATAAGGACCTGAGGGCAGAGCTCAGAGTGCAGACAAAGGGAGCAGAGTGGCCTGTAAGCAGCTGGATGTGCAGCAGCCCAGAGTGGTTCCAGCAGCTCTGCTCATTAATTAATTCCTGCTAATTAATTTCACTGAAACAGAAGCTCTCAGAAAGCCTCTTTTTATCTGAAACCCCCTGATTTAAAAAAAATTGTTTTTTATTAAAAAAAATTTTTTTTAATGTTTATTTCATTTTGAGAGAGAGTGAAACACAGAGTGTGAGTGGGGGAGTGTCAGAGAAAGAGAGAGAGAGAGAGAGACACAGAATCCGAAGTGGGGTCCAGGCTGTGAGCTGTCAGCACAGAGCCTGAGGCGGGGCTCGAACTCACAGACTGTGAGATTATGACCTGAGCCAAAGTTGGCCACTTCACCGACTGAGCCACCCATGTGCCCCCCCCCAATTTTTTTTAATGTTTCTATTTTTGAGAATGAGAGAGAGAGAGAGAGAGACAGAGTATGAGCAGGGGAGGGGCAGAGGGAGAGAGGGAGACACAGAATCCGAAGCAGGCTCCAAACTCTGAGCTGTCAGCACAGAGCCTGACGTGGGGCTTGAACTCACAGAGCTGTGAGATCATGACCCGAGCTGAAGTTGGACACTTAACCAACAGAGCCACCCAGGTGCCCCTGAAACCCCCTGATTTATAAATGTTGGTGACAGTCGCATTTGTTGGAAAATACCATGTGGTCCAAACCTTGTCCAATCTCTGAGGATCTTTCCCACTTAGAATCCTCAGTTCTTACATTAGCCCTAAAGCCCATTTTGCTGTTCAGTTTCTTCCCAATTTACCTTTAACAAGAGTCTGCTCGGCTCTTAGAGTGAGTAAATTGCAGAACCCATTGCTTCAGAGGCAGGTTAGGTGAGAGTTTCCAGACTACTTAACTGTTCGGAAAGGGCTGTCATGGGGATCCCTCTCAAGGGCTCCTTGGTCCTACCATGCATATAGCCCCCCTCTCCCTGCAAAGGGAGATGGACATTACTGGGTAGCCAGTGCATGCAGGTCCCTGTGCCCAGCGCCAAAAGGCTCTGCGATTTCCTTTTAAGTTTCTTAGTGTCTGGTAGGGGAGACTTTTTGCCAGATGCCTTTGGCTTTACAAGATGTTCAAGGTTATTGACATTTATTGTAGTAACTGAGGCAAAGTGGCTACTAATGTCTTCTTCCCCCAAATTCTGATTCCTGCAGTGCCTCAAGCCAGTTGCTTGAGGTGATGATGTCCTTCAAAGTGACTACAGGGGAATTTGGGGGTATCTGAGAAAGAGCGCCGTGCCGGGCCCCCCGAGCTTTCCACAGACACACCCTGAAGGGAACCTTGCTTTCATGCAGCTCCATTGGGAGCTGAGTGACAGGAACACCAAGGGCCATGATCCCTATTCTTTGCTGCTTTGGTGCTGGTGGAGGCTGAGAACGTGACCCTCTTTTACTGTCCTAGAGTGGAATGTTCTGCGATCTGGATTTAATAACCCAGGAAATGACACATCCTTAATTGAAAGAGCTGCTATGCATTGGGAGAAATATGTGCCTGGGAAGTATTTTTAGTATGGCCTTGGCAGTTATTCCTTCATTAATGTCTTCTTTCTCCTTTCATGCTGCCTGCCTGCTCTCCGCCTCCAATCTGAATTAAGTCTGAAACTGTCTGGACACTTGCAAGCCTTTCCTCCAGCCCCCGTCCCCTGGCTGCAGCAGGCTCTGAGTCTTGTACCAAGAATCTCCTTCGAGATTTTCTCCGCATAGGGGGCCGAGCTTCTGCCTCATCTCAAACTCTTTGAAGATGAATCCAGAAACAGTGGGAATACCAGCAGCCTGTGGCAAAGACAGTGACCGAAAGGGCCATGCTGCCCGTCGTGGGGCTCTGCTTACTAGCCTGCTTCTAGAGCAGCCACTTGTGCATTCTCAGAGATACGCAGCAGCCGCGGGGTAACTTGCTTGCTCAGTCAGCAGAAGTCCCAGGCACTCACTCACCCCCACTGTTTAGTCTGTAAAATTCAGAGGTTCCACAATTGGCTGTCTTCATGCTTTGTGTCTGAGGTCATCACTGATTCCCTGGGGCTCACTCTGAGTTTCTTTGTCCCATGCACTTCAAAGCAGCCTAGTGTGTGTGTGGCTCCGTGTCTCACAGGGCGTCCTAGGGCCGCGTCCCCACGTGACGATACAGACCGCTTTGCTGCTTCCAAACTAAACTAGGATGCAGGGCTAGAGGGCACCATCCGCCGCCTGTGCTCCCAGCGCACACACAGCTGACTGGGAGAGCCTTTAGGTCAGTTCAGCCTAACACTCATTTATTGAGTGCCTTCTGTGTACCAAGTGGGTGGAGGAAATGTTGCTGTGTTCAAACGAAAGCTTTCACCTGCCTTCTGACCTCTTTCAACTGATTTTAGGGGCTGTAGCCATTTTCTGGTGATTCAGAGCCTGTATTTCCTTGTAGATGTGATGCCGCTTAATACTTTCCCAAAGGTACAGGCTTCGTAGATAGAGGGCCCTTGAATTCCAACTGGGCTTCTTAGGCAGACCATGTAACCTCTCTGAGACTCAGCCCCCATCTCTCAGGTGTGCATAATACACCTAAATGACCTACCTCACCAGCAGGCTATTCAGAGAATGAGCTGAGGTGTGCAAACAGCACCCAGCACAGCACCTGGCCTCTGGCACGTGCTCAGTGAATGCCAGTAATTCCTGATTTCACTGCCCATGAGGACTCCATACCCATCACTTCTGAGTACTGGGGCCTCCAGAAGAGCAGAAGCATGCAGATAAACATTATGGAGAAGATTTTGCTGTGACTTATGGTAGACTTCTTTCTTTCCAGCATTGTGGCTTCAGTCCTGCCAACCAGCACCATTCATCACCTTCCTGATGGAGTGGTGACCTCTTCATGGAATGATTGGTTGGGCTCCCTTGACCAACACAGTAGTCCAAGCATACTAACTCTTCTAACTTGTGTTCTCAGGAGATCTCCCCATATACTCACGAGGCCTGTATCTAAGCAGGTGCAGGGGGAATAAAGGGATGCATTGTTCTCTATTCAGATGATATCAGAGGGATGGTATTAATCCTGACGCATTCACAGCTGGATGGGAAGAAAATCTCTATCATGAAGGTGGCTGTTTGCCACCTAGCTAAACTTGCCCGAGGCCCACAGAAAATTGGCTCAGGAGTCTGGAGTCCTCTCCTGGTGCCCATAATTACTCCTCTGGTTTCTTATTACAGGTCCAACATCCAGGCCTTTGAAGACTAAAACGTAGGGAGCATTCTGGCTAGGCTCCTTTTCCAAAAATGATTATGTAGGGTTTCTCAGTGCTGCATTTTTTGGTGAACAGTGGGGTAACCAAGTTGAGGCATCTCAGACATGAAGAGTTTTTCTGAGTCAACCTGCATCCTTCACCCCCACTTACATAAATAGCAAGCACTAAAAATCTATCTCTACATTATTTCCAATTAACGCTTAACTTCCATCATGTGGGGAAATGTAATTAAACTGTTTATCTTAATTGTAGATTCACATGCAGTTATAGGAAATAATAGAGGTCCTCTTATACCCTTTACCCAGTCCCCTTCAGTGGTACCACCTTGAAAACTATAGCACAGTATCAAAACTGAAATGTTAGCATCGATACGGGCAAGAGAGAGGGTTTCCATCACCACAGGGATCTCTCATGTCACCTCTTATGGCCACACCCAACTCCTCCCACCCTCCTTAACCTCTGGTAACCCCCTAATCTGCTATCTGCTATCTATTTCTATTATTTCAAGAACGTTATATTGATGGAATCATACAAGATGTGACTTTTTGGAATTGGCTTTTTTTTTTTTTAAACTTAGCATCGTTCACTGGAGATTTATTTGATTTATTCAGGTTGTACCAATAGTAACTTTTTTTTTCCTGTTCTAAGGATTTTTTTTTTCATTGTAGTAAAAATACTTAAAATATACCATCTTACAGGCACCTGGCTGGCTCAGTCTTGATCTCAGGGTTGTGAGTTCAAGCCCATGTTGGGTATAGAGATTACTTAAAAATAAATCTTAAAAAAAAAATAAAATCTACCATCTTAACCATTTTTTAAGTGTATAGGACTGGTAACTATATGCACATCTTTGTGCAACAGATCTCTAGAACTTTTTCTTGCAAAACAAATTCTGTATCCATTGAACAACTCTGCTCTTCCCTTCCTGCACTGTTTCTAAGAGTGAGTATTTTAGGTACCTCATATAAGTAGAATTACACAGCTGTCTGTTGTATTGTGACTGGTTTATGTCACTCAGCATAATGTCATCAAGATTCATCCATGTTGCAGCATGTGACAGGTTTTTTTTTTTTTTTTAAGGCTCAGTAATCTTCCACCGTCTGTCTGTACCACACTTTGATTATCCACTCATCTGTCAATGGGCATTTACGTTGCTTCCACCCCTCAGCTATTGTGAATAATGTTGCAATGACCGTGAGTGTGCAAATATCGTTTTGAGATCCTGATTTTAATTCTTTTGGCTAGATACCCAAAAACAGGATTTCTGGGTCATATGGTAATTTTCTTTTTTATTTTTTGAGGAACCTCCATAGCGTTTTCCATAGCACTGTGCTATTTTGCATTCTCACCAACAGTGCACAGGGTTCCGGTTTCTCCATCCTTACCAACATTTGTGGTTCTTTTGGGTTTTGGTTTTTGGTTTTGTTTTGGATAGTTGTTTTTTTTGTTTTTGTGTGTGTGTGTTTTTTGGTAGCAGCTATTCTATAACTTTTCATATTGTTGCTGGCCAGTATGTATCTTCTTGGGGAAATGTGTATTCACACCCTTTGCTCATTTTAAAAATCAGGTTATTTGGGTTTTTTGTCATGGAGTTGTAGGAGTCCTTTACATACTCTGGATATTAACCCCTTATCAAATATATGGTTTGCAAATACTTTTCCCATTCCATAGATTGCCTCTTCACTCTGTTAATTGTTGCTTTTGCTGTTTAGAAGTTTGTTTTTAAAAAGTTTAAATACTCCCACTTGTCTAATTTTGATTTTGTTGCCCGTGCCTTTGGTGTTAATTCAAGAAATCATTTCCCAGACTAATGTCAGAAAGCTTTACCTCTATGTATTCTTCTAGGATTTTTATGATTTTAAGCCTTACATTAAGTCTTTAGTCAATTTTTTAGCTGATTTATTTATGGTGAGATAAAGGTCCATTTTCATTCTTATATATACAGATACCCACTTTTCTCAAACCATTTATTGAAGAGACAATCCTTTCTGCATTGTGTATTCTTGGCATCCTTATCAAAGATCATTTTTACCGTATTTGCCAGGGTTTTTTTCTGGGCTCTGTATTTTCTTCCATTGATCTGTATGTCTATCTTTATGCAAGTACCACACTGTTTTGGTTGCTGTAGCTTTTATGTTATGTTTTGACATCAGGAAATGTGATACCTCTGGTTTTGCTTTACTTTCTCAAGATTGTGTTGGCTGTTTGGGGTCCCGTTAAGATTTCATATGAATTTTAGGATGCTTTTTTCTATTTCTGCAAAAAAAAAATTAAAAATAAATAAATAAATAAATAAAAGCCATCGAATTTTTGATAGGGCTTGCACTGAATCTGTACATTGCTTTCAGTAACGTGGACATTTAAAAATTTTTAAAAGTAATCTCTACACCCAATGTGGGGCTCAAATTTACAACCCCAAGATTAAGAGTCACATGCTCTACTGACTAAGCCAGCTGGGTGCCTCTGGACGTTTTAACATTATTAATCGTTCCAGTCCATAAACATGGATATCTTTCCATTTATTTGTGTCCTCTTTGATTTTTTTCATCAGTGTTTTATAGTTTTCAGTGTACAAGTCTTCATCTCTTTGGTTAAGTTTATTCTCAAAGATTTTATTCTTTTGATGCTATTGTAAATGGGATTGTTTTTTAATTTTCTTTGGATTGTTCATTGTCCGTGTATAGAAACACAATTGATTTTTGTGTGTTGATTTTGTGTCCTGCAGCTTTGCTGAATTCCTTCATTCTGACAATGTTTCAATGTTTTTATTTGTGGAAATAAAAATTTTTTTATTGTGGAAAATCTTTAAGATTTTCTACCTATAAGATCATTTATAAACAGATAAGTTTACTCTTCCTTTCCAATTTGAATAATTTTTATTCCTTTTCTTGCCTAATTGCTTAGGCTAAGACTTCTAGTACTATGTTGAATAGAAGTGGTAAGAGTAGATATTGGGGCATCTTGGGTGCCTCAGTTTGTTGAGCAACCAACCAGCTCAGGTCATGATCTCACAGTTCATGGGTTCAAGCCCCATGTCGGGCTCTGTGCTGACAGCTCAGAGCTTAGTGCCTGCTTTGGATTCTGTGTCTCCCTCTCTCTCTGTTCCTCCCCTATTGGTGCTCTCTCTTTTTCTCTCAAAAATAAATAAACATTTTAAAAAATTTAAAAAAGAAGAGTAGATATCCTTGTCTTATTCCTGATCTTAGAGGAAAAACTTTCAATTTTTTACCAGTTAAGTATGATGTTAGCTGTGGTCTTGTCATACGTGGCTTTTATTATGTTGAAGTAATTTCTTTCTATTTCTGATTTGCTTAGTGTTTTTATCATGAAAATATGTTGAGTTTTATCAATTTTTTTTTAACTATTGAGATGCTCTTGTGGTTTCTGTCTTCTGTTCCATTAATGAAGTGTATTAGATTGATTTTTTTTAACAAGACTTTTTTTCTTTTAAGTTTATTTACTTATTTAGAGAGAGAGAGAGGGAGGGAGGGTGCAAGAGGGGTCGGGGCACAGAGAGAGAGAGAATCCCAAGCAGGCTCCGCACTGTCAGCGCAGAGCCCAAACTCACAAATCGGGAGATCATGACCTGAGCCGAAACCAAGAGTCAGACGCTTAATCAACTGAGCCACCTAGGTGCCCCTACATTGATTGATTTTTGTATGTTGAGTCATCTTTGCATTCTAGAAATAAATCCAACTTAGTCATGGAGTATAGTCATTTTAACATGCTGTTGAATTCCATTTACTGAGGATTTTGCATCAATGCTCATTGAGAATAATGGTCTGTAGTTTTATTTTTCTGTGGTACCTTTGTCTGGTTTTGGTTTCAGGGTAATGCTGGCCTCATAGAATGAGTTTGGAAGTGTTCCCTCCTCTTGAGTTATTTGGAATTGGTGTCAATTCTTCTTTAACTGTTCGGTAGATTTCTCCAATGAAGCCATCTAGTCCTGAGTTTTTTGTTGTTGAGAGATTTTTGATTACTGAGTCAACCTTGTTATTTTATTATAGGTCTGTCCAGGTTTTTTCCTTTCATGACTCCATCTTGTTAGGTTGTATGTTTCTAGGAGTTATCTGTTTCTTCTAGCTTATCCAGTTTGTGCATATTGTTCATAAAGATCTCTTAAGATCCTTTTTATTTCTGTCATATTCATTGTAATGCCTCTTCTTTCATTTCTGATTTTTTTGTTATTTTGGTCTTCCCTCTTTTTCTTAGTCTAGCTAAAAGTGTGTCAATTTTGTTGTTTATTTTTTTTAATTTATTTTTTAATGTTTATTTTTGAGAGACAGTGTGAGCGGGAGAGGGGCAGAGAGACAGAATCTGAAGCAGGCTCCAGGCTCTAAGCTGTCATCACAGAGCCCAATGCTGGGCTCAAACCCACAAACCATGACATCATGACATGAGCTGAAGTTCGACACTCAGCCTACTGAGCCACCAAGGCACCCCTAATTTTTTTTTTTTAAGTTTATTTATTTTTGAGAGAGAGAGACAGAGTGCAAGTGGGGGAGGGGCAGAGGGTGAAGGAGACAGAATCTGAAGCAGGCTCCAGGCTCTGAGCTGTCAGCACTCACAGACTGTGAGATTGTGACCTGAGCCGAAGTTGGATGCTTAACTGAGCCACCCAGGTGCCCCAATTTTGTTGATCTTAAAACAAAACAAAACAAAAAAACACAAACTCTTAGTTTTGTTGATGGTTTTCCATTGTTTTTCTCTCCACTATTTTGTTTATTTGTGCTCTGCTCTTTATTATTTCCTTCCTTCTGCTAACTTTGGCTTTAGTTCTTTTCTTCTCCCTTGAGATAGAAAGTTTGCTTACTTGAGATCTCTCTTCTTTTTTTAATTAGGTATTTATAGCTATAAAGTCCCTTCTCAGCTTACCACATCCCATAAGTTTTGGTATGTTATTTTTTCATTTTCTTTTTTTAAGATGTACTTTTATTATTTATTTATTTATATTTTTTGCTGATTTTTTAAAAAGTTTATCCATTTTGAAAGAGAGTAAGTGGATTGGGGCAGAAAGAAAGGGGGACAGAGGATCCAAAGCAGGCTCTGTGCTGACAGCAGAGAACATGATGCAGGCCTCGAACTCACAAATTTGTGAGATTATGACCTGAGCTGAAGTCTGACTCTTAACCGACTGAACCACCCAAGCGCCCCATGTTTTTCATTTTCATTTGTTTCAATATTTTCTAATTTCCCTTGTGATTTCTTCTTTGTCCCATTGGTTATTCAGGAGTGTATTGTTTAATTTCCACATATTTGTAAATTTTCCGGTTTTCCTTCTGCTCTTGATTTCTTGTTTCATTCCATCATGGTCAGAAAAGATACTTGATGATTTCAGTCTTCCTAAATTTAAGACTTTAATTTTTTCCTCATGCTTTGTGGCCTAACACAAGTTCTGTCTTGGAGAATATTCCATGTGCACTTGAGCGGAATGAGTATTCTGCTGTTGTTGGATGGAGTGTTTTATAGTCTGTCACAGTCCAGTCTGCCGTGTGATTCAAAACCTGTGTCTCCTTATTGATCTTCTGTCTGATCGCTGTATCCTAATTTGTCTTTATTCCGTGGTACAGATGGACCACAGTTTAACCATTCATCCAGTGAAGAACATCTGGGTTGTGTCTGTTTTTCTGCTGTTATAAATAAAGCTGCTATAAATATTTTTTTATGTTTTTATTTATTTTTGAGAGAGAGAGAGAGAGACAGAGTGTGAGCAGGGGAGGGGCAGAGAGAGAGAGAGGGAGACCCAGAATCTGAAGCAGGGCCTAGGTCCTGAGCTGTCAGTACAGATCCCAGCGTGGGGCTCAAACTCACAAACCGCGAGATCATGACCTGAGCCAAAGTCAGACGTTCAACTGACTAAGCCACCCAGGCGCCCCCAAAGCTACTATAAACATTTGTGAACAGATTTTTGGGAAACCATAAATTTTTAGCTCTTTGGGAGAAATGCCCAGGAGTGCAGTTGCTGGATCATAAGGTAATTAGTTACATGTTTAATTTTATAGAAACTGCTAAACTGTTTTTTGTACAGTGTACCATTTTACATTCCTACTCACGATGTCTGAATAATCAAGTTTCTCCATATCCTCTCTAACTTTAGGTATTGTCACTATTTTTTATTTTAGCCATTCTCATAGGTGTGTAGTAATATCTCATTCTGCTTTTAATTTGCACTTTCCTCATGCAAAGGATGTCAGACATCTTTTCATGGGCTTATTTGCCATCAGTATACTCTCCAGTCCTTTTTTCAATATCCAGTTTCAGATCCCGCCCTATTTCTCAGCCTTAGTTGCTTTTTTCCAGAAGCTGCCATCCTCTAGGGAAGAGGGACAGTGCGCCCAA